CGGGGTGGTTAGGGTTTCGGGGTCTCACCGGTGGGGGGGGGATAAGGAGAGAGTGGGGGGGGGCCGGGGCCTGGTGGGTGGCCCAGTGGGGCCTGTGGTCAGCTGGGCCGAAGCCCGGGGGTTTCTCTTCTCCTTTTTTTTTGTATTGATTTCTGTTTTTATTTATTTATAAACACTTAGGCATTTTATAAAATTGTGAACCTTACACCATAATTATCTTTGTAATATTTGGCAACCACCGAACATTTTTATTTTAATTTTTAAAAACTTTTATTGTTTTCTTTTATTTAAATTTTGAATTTGTTTCGGTTCTGAACTATCGAGAGTTTATCACAGTAACCGTGGTGACGTGGCATCATTAGCGGGGAATCACTGTAGCTTAATTATCCGGGCGTCACAGCTAGGGTCGAGCGTTGAAGATGCCCTTAGTGTGTCGGTCTAAGCTGCTAAAGTGTAACAATCTTTAGTTAACTGCTGCATGTTAATCCTGAATTTTGGCTTCTTCTTTTAATCCCATTGCCGTTTTCTTGTTCTGCAGTAGCTTCATCCCAAAACCCGATTACTGGGGTGGCTACAGGTTGACACCAAATCTTTTTGAGTTCTGGCAAGGCCAGCAGTCTCGTCTGCATGACCGGTATGTTCTGTACATTTGTCATTTGATTATCAATTTTGATTTTGTCAAAAACCCTTGTTTGAATATCTGTGAACATGTCAATGTAGTTTTGAACACAGTACTTTTTTATATAAACAGGCTACAGTATTCACAGCGAGAATTAGGTGGGAGTACAGAATGGCACATCCAAAGGTTGTCCCCTTGATCAGTAACCTCCTTAAAGCTCTCGCCTCTTGGTAATAAAAGGGGGTGTCGTTTTGGCACCTGCGCACACTTGCTCCTGGTACCTAATGGACTGCAATTTCTTGATTGGAGATGTGTGCTAGATGTATTTTCGTGATATATATGTGAATGCAGAAAAGCAAGGTGTATAAGCCAATCTAATGCAGCAGACCAAACTCGCGAGGCAGGCTGTGAAGATTGCTGTTATGTTGCTCGTTTGTTTGACGGCTGGCGGTACTCCGAACTCACATGGGCCATCGGCCCAGGATGTAGCAACCCTTATGTTCCATGGTTTCCAGCCTGTAACCGAGGGCTCTCTTCACATTGGATACTTCTCATGTGCTACTATTTCTTAGTGTCTCGACTCTTTTCACATAAATGAATTGGTGAAAGTCTGAACTTGCTGACAAATCTGTAGAGTCCATTTTTCTTGTATTGACGACCGAGCCCATCAGAGTTGTGTGTTGACAAATTACATGGTATTTTCCTCTCAAATAAATTACATGGTATATTAACTGTACATGGTTTAAAACTTGTATTGGTACATGGTTCAAAAGTTAGTATTAGTTGATTGAGACACCTTTGATGCATTGGGCACAAAACAGAGTACTCCGAGTTACAATGTAAACTGTGAGTTCCATGCTTGTTGCTTTGATTGATTTTGACTAATTAGCTAGTCAGTGGTAATGCTTTTACTGCTTTCACACGCATTTAGCAGGCCCTTGATAGCTCATGAGTGAATTAACATTTCTGATGTGTACAGCCATATAGTGGGTACTAAATCTGAATGTGAACATCATTGCACTGAGGATCTTGTGTCTACTGAGAATGTTTGTACGCTACAGTTTCGATGGATTTGGTGATCATGAATTGGGGACTGGAAACATCGTATGCGTCATAGCAATGTACACGTACGGACGCAGCTGTTGTTTTGTTGTGCTGGAGTTCTCTGGTAGGCTCTCCGGCGGCCTAGGTGGAGAAGGCGACGAGGGAGGCCTACATGGCTTCTTTGAAGCTCCCTATCTCCAACATCTGCGCCCTCGCCGCCGTGCCTCCACAAACCTCTTCCTCCGACACCACTGGCCTAGTGTTCATTCGCTCCCCATAGAAACAGGCGATGACTCCCTTGGCTTCCTCAGAAAACCGGTTGCCACTGTTTGCCCCCCAAACAGAAACTGATCGACAGACCGCAGTGCCTCCCTTCTATTTATTTTGAAGATTTAAAAAAAGAAATGTTGGTGAATTCAAAAAAGGATCATGATTTGAAAATGTTTGTGAATTTAAAAAAATATTCACATAATCAGAATTGCTTCTGCATTACTAGTTAGTTAGTTGCAGCACATTGCTTGATTTGTCCTTAGGAGTGTCTCCCATATGCATAGCATATTCCTTGGTTGTTGATAGTGAGCAACAATGTACCCCTCCTTACAACCATCAGTGTGAATCCTCGTATCTGTTTCGTATCTCACGGGTAAACCGCCCTTCTTCATTTCGTCAACCCATATGCCCATTGCCACATCTTCTAGTTTGAACATCTGCAAGAATGAAGGATGTAGATAACATCTTGTTTAGCTATACAATCTGTCAGCTGGTAGCAGCAGAGAAGATCAAATAATAAGAGGCTAGACCTGTGAAAGGGACTGTAGATTTTTTGTTTACAGGTTTAGAAGGATGGAGTAACGGGGAGGAGTAGTCTTCAACCTAGTGGTGGAGTGGAGCTGTATGTGTGTGAGGAATCACGGCATTTGTAAATGACTGGTGGAGGCTTTCTATGCCTTTCCTTCTTTAATATATGATATGCATATTCGAGAAAAAGAGTTCTTTTTAGAATAGCGAAATTATAGCTTGAGTGTGCCTCTTTCAGCTAGTTTTTCTTTGTTCCAGGAGGGAAATCATAGCTCATTTTTGCTAAATCAATATACCTCTAGGTGACTTGGTTGTGGTTTGGCACTTGACCGGTCGTTTGTAAATTAGTTTTCATCTAGCATGTACTTCGTATATCACAGAGCCATAGGTTACACTTCTGCCTAAACAGAGATACCTTCAGACGACTTGTTTTATACCAAATGTTGATTGTCTTTGCAATGTCTTCTGAAACCACATATCCTGGTCCATGAGCCCATGGTGGGTATCTCTCTTCAGGCCATTCCTACAGAAGCAGAATACATCAGAAATCTTGGGACCCATGTTTATGGCAGCGAACCTTTCTACGTGGGGACATTACCTCCGGGCTTATGTACCACTTGCTTTCACTATTTCTGTGAGGACCTGAATCTGAATTGATGCGACCATAGAGCAGACCGTTGCTGACATTCAACTGTTTTACCGAGGAGTAGATTTCGTGCACTCGAACAAAAGCATCATCGTCTGTTTTCATCAGATACTTGGCTGACACAGCATTGGTCTGCTCAAATAGAGCACAGTTAGTTAAGCACACAAAAGCAAAAGAAATGGAAAATCCTAAATTAGTTGTGAGAAGAAGATCAATGTTTTACCCCATAGATGCATATTGCCAGTGTCTTCCATGTAATTAGGCTGTAGTAATCAACAAAGGGCAACACCTGAATGTCACCATATTTGCGTGCCTCGTTCCGGAGTTCCTTATTTACCATCAGGTTTGTATGCTTTTAGTAAACAAAACAATACCAAACGTGTCAGGATTAAGGACTGCCTTAATATGTAAACGGAAGCAGTAAAAGAACACTCTGAAACACTTGACAGTTGATTGAGATAACTATCCTTTAGTATTTTACCAGGCCAACGAAAAATCGGACCGCAACTGTTCCGTTACGCACTGCATCATATTGCATCCACGTCCTTCGAATCGCCATTCTACGCTTGAAGTTGTTTGCTGTTGAGAAGATGCCGATCAGAAGGTCGAGATCTTTGCCGTCTGGAATAGGTGATGACTTCAGCATATCAAGATCGAGGCTATTTTCCAAGTCTTCGGAGGTAGGCAGTCCACTTGCAATGGCACTTGCTAGCTTGAAGTCACCAGAAATCCTTACTTGAGTACCAAACCAAGGTTCGGAGCCCTGATAACAGAAACTCAAACAGTAAGGATTTGAGCAACATCACATTTATCTCATGATCCACACGGGAGAAGATTACCGCTCTGTATGCGAATGAAGTAATATGTTTCCCGTCAACCGTCATATGGATTCCTTCTAGCGCTATCCGGAGAGTTGTGATAGCAAGGTATCCCTGCTTAAAAGGAAAATATGTGCTTGGTTTTCCACCTTGCTTGGGACCAGCGTGATGTGTAGAGTTCTTTATGCTCTTTTCTTCTCTGCCCACCATGGAATTACATCTCTCCAAATCATCCACTGTGAAAGATGTCAGATAAGTGGTGTGAGGCACCACAATAATAACTACTACTAGTAAGCAATTTATAAGCAAGTTTAAAGTACCTTGAGTTGCATTGTTGGAGTGGCCGCTGGGACAACGATCCTCAAAACCCCAGCCATTACTAACCCCAGCCATTACTTGCAGTGAAGGCGTTCTGCACTATGACCGGACCTTGAGCAAGTTTATCGCCGGTTAGACGAACACCGTACCGCAACACAATGGGTTCTTCAGGTTCCCCCGGGAGTGCCGTCCCGACAAGATCAATCCAAAAGTTACCAGACAGGCTGCCAGGAGTGCCTATGACAGTTATGGAAGAACCAACGACAAGCCCACACGGTATGTCCATGGTAAAGTGACCGCCCGCCGACTTGGAAGCGTCCATTCTGCGAACTGAGTATGGGCAGAGCCTCCCCTTCTCTATTCCCGGAGAAGTTGCATTTTGAACCGTTGCCATCAAGTTTTCCCATGCGGTTCTTGCATCTTTGATCGCTTTAGTCGCATGGGGAAGGCCCGTGGATACGTTGGTTAGCTGCTTCATATGGTTCCATGTGTTTAGCCAGTGTAGTCTTTCAGTCGAGGAGTTTCTAGGATCCAGGTTGCTTGAATCATCCGCTGGTGATGATACCACCCTTGCAGAGGAATTTCTGGGATCTAGGCTGCTTGAATCATCCGCTGGTGATGATACCACCCTAGTAGAGGAATTACTGGGATCCAGGCTGCTTGAATCATCTGCTGGTAATGATACCACCTGCGCATTCGCCGGATTGGCTGTTGGTGCATCTGCGTCCACTCGGTTGCTGAGCCATGCAAGGGGATTGGCATGGAGAATTTGATAGCGGGATGTTCCTGATATGGGGCTGTTCAATATCAAATGTCGCACGATAAGCGGAGAAAAGAAGGTGATCAGAACTGCGATGCAGAGCTGCTTTGTTGTCCACATCTCTGATCTCACTTTCTATGGAACCGTGGCAATCACGCAGGGCACTGCTGATTTGAATGGAAAACTAACCCTTGCACTTGCAGTCTATCCAGCATAACACCTGTCGATGCAATTGTCGTCACTTCTTTAGCTATAATGGTAAGCATTTTTTTTCTCCTTAGCATGCCACATGCATCATATACAGTGGGAACAAACTATGCCATAGGAACTGAAAACTCTTTTAGTTTTTGGGTTAACTAGACCTCCTTTAGCGAGTGAAGTGTGTGCATATTTATATTATGTAATAAGAATGAAGAAATACTACTACAATTCTATAACCAACATAAACATTGTGCCAAATGAAATAGAGAATATGCATTTGATAACTTTAATCGTGGGACAATGATCATTATGCCTTTTGAAAAGCACTATATTCATGATGTTATTTGTGTGTCTTTCATTAAATCAATGCATCTATTTCACGAGCTAGCTTATAATTTTTGTGCAATAATCAATACATCATACTCATTCCCTACCCAGGACTAGTCGAGTTGGATTTGGGCATCGCCCATGGGCAAGAAAATGTGCCCATACCCTATCCATATGAGCCGAGTACCCACGGGTACTCATGGCCATGAGTAAATTGCCATCCTTGGATACCAATATAGCGTACATGGAGCAACCTCTCTAGATGGAGTCCAAGGAGCAACAAACCAAGATTCTTGTGGTAAGTTCACAATGATCAACTTAATCATGCCGACCCTCCGAGTTGTTACGGTGAGGTCAGAAGCTCTCTTTCCCAGATTCGACTTCGTGGGCTTGTCGCAGCCGTAGAGAAGGGGCATCCTTTGGAGCCGTATTCACAGTTGCTGATGGGAATGTTGGGGAAGCATGTGAAGAAAGATCAGGAGGCAACACTTGCTTCAACATTGGAGGCACCATGTCATGCCCCCCCCCCCCTATTTTTTGCTGAGTTTCAAGGGCCTCGTAAGCCCCTGAGTCCTAAAAATTCGTGATAGGAATTAGCGGACGCTATCCATTAGGACATTGGTCTGACCCATATTTTGAAGGCCGGGTCCTTTGGCTCGGCTTCATAAGAAAACTGGGACGAGGGAGCTGGTCACCATCGGCCCACCGGTACAAGCGGGTCTACCCAAATCTAGTTGTCCAAGGTTGTGGGAGATATTAGTGCATGATTGTTATTTTAAACACTAATATATGAAGCACTTATATTCGGGAAGTTTTTATTAGTTAGTGAAACACAATAGTTATGAGAGCACCTTCCACCAAGTCATTTAATGAGCTTTTGACCATGGACACAAGTTGCAAAAACTTGTCTTGTATTTGTAGAAAATATCAATTTTGAGAAGGGGTCCGTTGGGGAGTAATTGGTTGGAATCTAACTTTGTTACTAAATGATAGCCCACACGTTGTTGCGGAATGTTCTGCAATCTATTTTAATGAGATTTGGTGGTATGAAATATGAATATTTGGAGTAATAATATGATAACCAAAAGTAAAAGTACATATGATTTTTTGTGTTTGAATATTTACGAGATTTTTTTTTGTGTTTGATTATTGCATAGATAAAATATAAAGACCATAATAGAGTGGAAATTATCATGCATATTTGCATGTTGAAGTGAGCTTTTCCAATGCATTGTTGGCTGTTGAGGTGAGTGTTTTCTCATGCATTTGCATGATGAGGTGGCATGCTTGCATGTTAAAATAAATATATTAGTAGGGGCTTGCTATTTAGATATTGAAGATCAGATTTATGCTTAACAATGTAGACACAAATATGTAGTGTTCATGAGCCCATATATGTACATAATCAAGAGATGTTGGCCATACTTAATCCTTTTATTCCTCCGGAACGTCATACTTACTCCTAACCAGTACTACAATTAAGCAAACATAAATATTTTAATTTTACTGAGGTCATTGAACCATTGACTTCAGAAAACAATAGTGTTAGATTAGGTATAATAAGATGACGTAAGTAGGCTATAGGAACTATCACATCAGATTTGTACTAAGCTGGAGGATAGATGAGAGAAGAGAGAAGAGAAACGTGTTGTAAATTAATAGCGAGGTACAACAAGGGCTCCAGAAATCTTTGTGAGAGAATGAGATGGGCAAAGTATTGATGAAGTTTAATAGCGAGCTATAACAAGTTCTGCTTTTTGTATGATTTTTTAACACACCTTCCTACTTTTTATCTATATTATTCTTTCCGTATATCATACATAGATAGATATTAAAAACCAAAAACTGTTTTTGGATCCTGGATTCCATGGAGCATCGATTATTGAAAAATACATTTTTTTGAAGTTAAAAAAATGTATGTATACTGCATTTATGTAAATTTTCATGATGAATACGTTTGGTGCAAGCTAAAAAACCCTGTATTTCTAACACATGCACTATTCACTATAAATATCCATGATTTTTTTTGCAGCTCACACCGAAATGTATTTCATCATGAAGTTGTACAGAAATGTAGTATACGTCCCTATGCACATGTGTGTTCTGTATCATTTTTTTAGAACATCAAAATATATTTGTTGATTTTTTTTCATAAGCCTTTTTTCATTAGAAAATTAACCTGAGCGTCCATGTCAAATCCAATGAACTTGCATAGTGTATTCTTTGAATTTCTTGGCCGGTAGTTTGTCAAATTAAAGATACGACGATAAAACGCCAGGAACTGCCAAATGTGCCATGGCGCCAGACCAGGCGCCTCCGGTCCAGTCAAGCGTGCATTTGTCGTTGTTTCACGCGGTCTTTGAAATGCGTAGACGGCAGCCAAGCCCTTCCTTTTTCTTCTCCCTTTTCTTATTCTAATGAACATGCATGGCGGCTATTCCCAGGTGATGATCTTTGATTTGTTCTTCATCGTCAGACCCGACTTCTTGTTCCTTCTCCAAAGCTAAGCTATGTACCCTTAGTAACCCATAAACATCTGCTTCTACATACCAAACTTAACGCAAAACGTGGATATAATCTACTCCGTATTTACTGATGATGCTGATGATGAATTGCAAAACGTGCATCAAGCTGCCAAGAAACTGCATCGTATTCTCAAATGAGCAAGAAACTAGCAAAGCACCGGAGTATAACTAAACGACCTCCTACTTTGCATGCAAGGGAAAGGGAGGATATGGGATGACGCTTACCTTGTTGCCTGTACTGCTTCGATCTTCAACGCTTCAAGTGGGAAGATGTGCTCGTCATGGCGATGATGATGAGGAGGAGGGGAAGATGGCGACGAGGAGAGGAGGAAGGGGAGCAAGCGTGTAATGCTAACGGGCGAGAAAATCGAGGGAGCAAGTGGTGCAACCGGGGCATGCTTAAGGCAGGTCCTTAATTATAACTTACTAGTGCCGATACGCGCCGGCGCGCCCCTGTCAGACATTGTGATCAATGGAAAAAAACATGCTGTAACAAAATAACGTGGTCTTTAAAATATGCTATTAGCAAGACATTGTATACTGATTTATTTAGCGAGACATTTCTCAACTGTTATAGCGTGCTATTTTTTTTTCATTGCTTGTGATCGATGGCAGGATTAGAATACCCCCTTTGTCCGGTTTTATTAGACACTCTCTTATTTTGAGTCAAAATTTGATCATAGATTTAGTTCGTAAAACATAAACTATATGTCACAAATATTATCATGGAAAATCTCTTTTGAATACAAATCCAACAATATACATTTTTATAGCATATACTCTATATTTTGTTAGTTATATAGATAAACAAAGTTTGACCCAAAATACTAGGAGACCCAGTAAGCTCGAACAGAGGAAATAGATTCTTTACAAATAAAGTAATGTGCTGCTATGTTTGTTGCTGCTAGAAGTTTCAATATGTTCAAAAATCAAGACTTCAAGACAGCGTAAAATGGCGAGGATGTCAAACTCCGCATACAAGGAATAGCATCCACGACCAATACAACCACATGTTCCTTCCTACGTTTTGGTTTAGGGTACATAACATCTATTTCTAAGTAACTTAATAGATACGAATAAGTTTTCCCCTCACGTTAGGGTTACCCCTCCTCCAGGCGACGGCGGCCACCTTGGAGACCTTCGCTCCCCTGCCCTCCTCACCGGCCGTTGTCCGCCGGGGCTTTGCCTCAGGGCGACGATCTGAGGGAGACGCTAGGGAACCACCGCTTGCAGAAACCTTTTCTTCTTCGGGCGAGAGTTAC